ATAGAGAAGAAAATCTCAGAACAGTAAATGTGAAATAAAAGCTTGTGTTTTAGTAAGTTTGTAGTTAATAAAACAAAATATCTAAGAAAATTAGTTATATATCATACCTCAACATAAATTCAGAATGCAGTCTCTTCAACCGGAGTCAACAAGTAACTAATATTCAATTATTTGATATGTAATACCCATACAGAAAATTTCAAAACTTCAGAAAAATGTATGTTTAGACCATTTTGAATTAAGAGCACAGCTAATAGTACTTTAATGAAGCCATAGTCTAGAAGGAACTCACAGACCCACGCAATCTCTTTTCAAGGTATTTTATATACTCTCTTAACACCGAAGTCCTTTGGCAGTTTGACTGCTAGTAAATTCTGGAGATGTGTGTGGCTTACTGCTAACTAAATTATTAGTTTAAGAAAATACCTATATAGGTAATACATATAAAATAATTAATATTTCTACAATATCCAGGCTGGAAATCACAAGAAATTAGTCGTTCTATTACCATGATAAAACATCCTGAGAAACGACATGTAGAGCTAAGTATTTATCTGCCTGACACTTCTGGGTCACAGTTCCTCACAGACTAGAGATGTCGCTCAGTTCTCAAATATTTGGCTAGTACACATGAAGCACTGGGCTCATCTGCCTGCACTGCAAAAGCAAGATTTTTAAAGCTAATGCTAGAAGAAAATTTTCTAATAAGTGATCAGTTCCTTCTGATGGAATATTTAAAAATAAAACTGAAGAAGCAGCACCATACCTGGATCTTCTAGAGGAATTACATATGATATGAAAGCAAATGTTAGTACTAACTTATATTAAATTTAACAGGGAAAAAAAAACTTATCCTTAAAACATCCTTGAGAATATGTTTCATCAGTAAATATTAAACACTACAGAATCTAACACATATCCAATATTCCTCAAACAAAACACTTGGAAATATTTGTATTCTATATTTTGGCACGATGATATGACTAGGGATGGGCTATAAGTATAAATAAATAACCCCGTGCTGTTAGCATGCCTACATTTTGACTGTATATAAGGTCAGATATGAAATCTCCCACTTTCCAGCATGATGTCATAACCCAGAAAGACCCCTACTTTATAGCATTTTGGGTTTTACAATTTTAGTTTAGAAGTACATAACCAAAATGACACATGAAGTCCATCCAGAACCAGGTTGCTGTGCAGGCTGGGTGTTGTCAGCTTCTTCCTAAGAACCACAGTAGGAAAGCATGAAGCATTTCTTGATCAGTGATTGCTATGGGAGGGCCCAACTCGCTGTGAGTGGTGACAGCCCTGTGCAGGTGATCCTAGATAAGAAAATAGGCTGAGCAAGCCATGGGGAGCAAGTCAGGAAACAGCATTCCTCTAAGGCTCTGCTCAGTTCCTGTCTACAGGTTCCTAGTTGAACACCTGCTGTGATCGCCCTTCATGGTAGACTGTAAATTCTAAGATAAACAGACCCTTTCCTCCCAAGTTGCTTTTGGCCATGGTGTTTATCACAGCCCTAGAAACTAAATAAACATACTTGCTATACCAACCACTGACTTTTGGGAATCCTAATACTAAACAAAATCCTGAGACAGCTTGAAGTGAACTGACAAAACACAAATATTAAGGAAAACTATGTTATTCAATAATATTAGAACTGTTCATGTGTGTGTGTATGCATGTACATATATGTAGGGCATGCACATAAGTAGTCCATGTGTACATGGGTATGAGGTGTGTTATATGTACATGTATATGCACATACATGTATGTGTTGTGTATGGACATGTGTGTTTGTGATATATGTGCATGTCTGTGTGTTTCTGGAAACTGAACTCGGGCCTCAGACACACTGAGTAAGTGGTGACAGGCAAGCTACACCTCTTAGTCACAAACATTTCTTGAAGCTCTAAATCTATACATCTCTATAAAGACCCAAATATCGATGCTGAGAGAAACCTAAACCAAATCATGGGATCTTAACAATCTTCAGAAGCTTATCTATCCATTAAATGTTGTGAAGACTATCCTGAAAAACTTTCTAGATGTTCCTCATAAAAATGTTCAACATCTCCAACATCAGTGAAGATACAATATTAGAATATAATCCAAGTAGTATATCCCAGGCTTTAACCCCGATTAAAAGGAAATAATGAAATTGTAAAATTATGTAAATACCAGTTCAGACACTGGTCTCAACTGCTCTTTCCTATAAACTCCAGATCAGTTAAGACGGTTGTCACTTCGGATAAGATTCTGCAGAGCCTTACCAATCTAAGACAGAAGTGCATTGCCTTTGATTATGCATATTCCATGATGGGTAAGGAAGAAGGCATTCTTGTCAGAACGACCTAAGACAGACTCAGTCTTGATAACGAAACAAAAAAGGGGAAGAGGTGGAGAGCTTTTAGGGCTGCTTGGCAAGAAGCTGACATGAGCCAAGAACAAGGAAATGGGCTGCTTGGCAGGAATATGACATTGACCAAGGACTAGGAAGTAGGCTTCAGGCAGGAATCTGACATTAGGCTAGAACAAAGAAGTAATTTCAGGCAGGAATCTAAATATTAGGTTAGAACAGAGATGTAATTTCAGACAGGAATCTAAATCTTAGGCTAGAACAAGGAAGTAGGCTTCAGATATGAAAATAACCTTGGGCTAGGATAGGGAAGTAGGCTCAGATACTTTGGTCACCCTGATAAACCTTTAGAAACAGTGATCACAGGAGTGTTCACGTAACTGGGTTTAATGCCTTACTTTTTTCTTTGACTGTTTGTATTTATTGTATTGTTTGTTCCTCGACTATTTGCATCTACTGTATTGCTAGACCCTCAACCTAGAACTGACCTTAATACATGCATGTAATCAAAATGGTATAAAAGCATAAAGGAAGAGGGGGTATAGGATAGGGGGTTCTAGGGAAGGGAAATGGGGGAAGGGGATGATACCTGTATTGTAAATAGATAAAATATCCAATAAAAAAAAGAATGTTGTCATTTAGTGCAAGTGTATTAACAAAAGAATAACAAAACATTATGTTAAAAAAAAATACACTTGAGAACAACCACAAACCAAGCTCTCTCCTTCAGTCTTTACTGTATCCATGAACTCACGGCCAAGAGAACAGAGAAAATCTATAAGCACAACAATTTCTGTCTATAAATGAATATATTCATTTATTGTACTGCTTTTTATACTTATGTGTGGAAACATGGATCTCTTCAGTATGGTGTCCATATCATTGGAGCCTGGGACAGAAAGCTGCAATTGATGGAATCAATGTCTGCTCAGACAGTATGAACAACAATGACACAGGAAATCACCAGTGATTCCATTTTAGCCTGATAAAAGCAGTGCCTAACCCATTCAAACAACTAGCTGGCCTTATTCTGACAATAAAGTGTTCAAATAAAGGTCTAATCATTATTCAAAAAACAAATATGTCTGAGAACATACTGCCATTTAACAATACAATAATTCACCTAAGGAGCTTAGAAATGCTTATTAAAGAGGATTTAATTATTTACTTAGTGACTGTTATCATTTATTTAATATAAACTTTAAAATGCACGAAATAAGGGGGCTTAGCAGAAAATATTGTAATATGATAATCAGATATGATCTGGCATAGTTATAAACTATAATAATATTTCATTTCCATATGCCAAATCACAGATGAATTACATATTAAATCCCACTAAAAAGAAATATAAAATCAAAGTCATGATTTAGGAGACACCATAAGATGCAAACACAGGAATCAGAGATGAAATGATCAACAGAGGTTTGAATGGGGTCCTTAGTGGATGCAAGGCTTAGAATACTGAGAAGTTGGTCAGGAAAGAATGAGATGTGAAGATGCAGCAGACTTCCCTGCCGCCCTTGTAGAAGCAAAACCTCTTTACATTGTCCATTTGGCAACGTGAAGGCTGGCTGTTAGAAGCAAAGATAAAACAACAGCCACAAAACACACCAGTCCTGCCCATGTGAGGAACCGATTTCACAGCTTACAGCATGTGAACCTGTGAGAGCAACATGGACACCAGCTTAGCTCACAGACTCAACTGAAACCATAGCTGAAGACTGTGCAGTCATTTGTTACACAGTAATAGACACTAATGCCAGTCTTAGATCAGCAAACACTGCTCTCCTGTGTTAACCTCTACAAACTGTCTAGATCAAACATTGATTTTTTTCAAACATTTTCAAAATGTCTTTTCTATAATTTATATATTATATGTAATTTATATATATGTAAACTACCTATGTAAATATAGGTATATATTTACATTTATAATTTGTATACATAAAATTTATATATATATAATGTAAAATCGAATGATAAACCCCAGTTTTCATGAAATATAGACACTTAAATTTTGTATTGAAAGCATTTTGCTTCTAAATTTCTTTGGCTGAATTAAAATGCAAATCTAAAAGATAACATGATCTTAATCTTTAGTATTTTAAAAACAGTATTAAACATTTCTCATATTCCGCACTTGTAAAAAGATACAAAGTTAACACACTTATTTCCCCATGCAGTATTTATGTTACTCATTACTGCACATTGTGTGAAACAGTTAGGAAAGCATACTCTTCCAGCATCATCTTCATACACGTAGGTACATGTAAGGAAAAGCAAACAGACCAATTTCAGAAATAATGTAAACGCTACGAGGTTATGCTACAGCAAGTTGTCCAACACAACTATCTGTTTGTACATCTAGCTTTCCTATGTATTAAGAGTTGTGGGTAGAGTATTATTATTATTATTATTGTGGGTGGTATTATTCAACATACAGTTAGAAGCATAGTAAGCTGGCATCTGTTTTCAGATGTAACAAAACTTTCTCCTGTGTTTCCATCTCATGAAATTCACTATAAAAGTTCTAAACAACCATCCAGAATAGAAATTATTTTGTATAAGTGCAAATGTGGTTGGTCTTTTAAAAGGAAATTGATATATTTTTAATGTTATTTTCAAGTAAGCCTACCTTCCACATTCAGAGTTCCCATTTTAGACTCCAAGAAATCAAATAATGTGCTTGGTGCTGACGGCCTTGCGTTGCCTAGGTCTTCTTCATCTTCTGATCGTACTCGACCCCTGCCTTTCCCTCTACCTTAGGTTGAAAAGCACAGACATACATACATAGCATGTGAGAAGCAAAAGAAGAGATCACTAAAACAAAATCAGTAATCTTGTAAATAGGACTGCACATACATTTCTTCTCACCATCTTCAGTGAATTTCTTTAACAATAAAAATGCTTTAAATAAAGTTAATAAGAAATACTTTTACTACTCTATATGATCTATCAAAGATCTGTCAAATGAACACAGGACCTAGAAATAAACACATATCACTTTTTTTTAATTTAAAAATATTTTACCTTAAAATGTATTTTCTTTCTACAAAAAATAAGGTTGACTTATCAAGCTTAGTATAGTTAGATCTGTGCATAGTAAAACTGTAAACACTGCTGTAACTTAAAGGCATCTCACATGTTCACATAAAATTTAGAATATCACTCTACATACTAAAATGCAAATGTATGGGTATTTATGCTATGTACAAGGATATTTCTCAATCTGTTTCTCAAACAATATCACTTTATCCAAGTAAAAGATACTGTTTGGTTAATTTTAGGAGGTTTAGAGAGTAGTAAGCCTTTAATACAGATCTAGACATAACTCTTACAACAAGTTAGTGTGCATCATGATCTGTCTCTTACCTCTAACAACTCTGCTAAAAACAGACACCGTCAATATAGAGACAAACACTCCCAGGAAGCAGCCTGCATGACCTCTATGGCTCCATGCTTCATGCATCTAAGAACCAGTGTTACCTAATGCTACAGCCCTCAAACAGTAAAAAATTCAGCCCGGACCTTCACATATCTTGGTAGCACATGAGCTATACCTCTAGGAGGAGGCCCCACAACAGGTTTCTGTTTACTGCTGTTTAGAAGTACATTCAACGCTGCTTCTAAGTTGTTGGCATTATCCATCAGCGCTTGCCTCGATGCCTCCTTACTGAAGCCCATCTCGGTTATGTGTTTCAGGGCTTTCTCATCAACCTGAAAGGAACAAAGACAAGCTATGCTGATGACATACATAAAGCCAGATACCTACTTTAACCGCCTTTTAACTCAAATTTTCATTCACAGCTATAGCAAAACTGTCACACTAACACAATGTTCTGATTGTTTTTCCACACTAATAGTCAAGGAAGAATTTGAGTTACAGTAACTTTCACTGAAAATCCAAAACAAGAAAATGAAAAGCTTATGCTATATTAGAGTAAGCTTTTAGGAAAATAATATGGCAAAGAAAACATGACCTCAAAAATTTTTATACTAAAAACAAACAAACAAACAAACAAACAAACAAACCAAGTAATTATACTTCCCCATCCACTGTGGGGAGGGGGGTGTAATTTATATAGCATCTCAACAAAAATATAAAGAAGAAATGTTAAGAAGAAGAAAAGAAGAAGGAAGATATTCAGAGCATAGCCTGTTTCTTTCATGGCTGACCTGTTACACTTACCAGCTCTCTATAGACACCTTCATTTTTGCTCTCTGATTTGGAAGCCTTTTCCTTCTGTAAAACCTCCCTATTTCGGTGACTGGCAGCACCAATATTGAGATTACTTCTGGCACCACCTCCACCTCCTCCAAATGTCTTGGTCTTTAGATAAGAGAAAAATAAAACAGATGTAAGTAAATAGTATTTTTAAATAGTCAAACAAACAAAGATATTACTTTAAAAACTGGAAAAAATTAATCACTTAAAGCTTAATTATTTTTCACAAGTAAAAATTAAATAACTGACACTTACAAATACCATACAGCATAAACATCTACAAGCCATAATATTTTCTTTCTACAAGTCCAGGCAGGGCAAAAAGGAAAATTTACTAGATTTTAATTAAGTCCCCAAAACAAATCTATGTGTGCATCAATACAGACTAAAATGAGATGATATAAATATTATGAAGATTAGTTGTCTAAATTACTCCAGTGAAATATTTAAATACATCTTTGATCCAAGCCTAGAACCATACAGCTCAACATCAGTACAATCAAAGAACTAAACAAAGTACTTAGTCTAAACAAAGTACTAAACTGAACTAATAGTCAATTAAAACGTGTCATGTGTGTTGGGGATCATTATATAATCTTAGAAATTAAACATAACATGAACAAAGAGTAGAATCTGTTCACTAACTCACTGTTTACATTCATCATACATGTCATTCCTTACCAACTATGTATAAAACCTTAAGTCTGTATATTCATTATTTTACTGATATATTTGAATAAACTTGAAACTTGATTTAATCTCATTAATCATTTCTTTTCAAAATCATTATGAAAAAATAGAACATGAAGATCATTAACTTGGGAAGAAACAAGATCATGGCTGAAAAGCATCCCACAGCTAATTCATCAAAAGAGAAATCGTATTAAATAATATTTTTCTGTCTGATACCTTTGGTAAAATTAAAAGCAAGTTAAAACTTGCATCTTTTATTAATGATAATTGTTGAAAATATATTTTAAATAAGAAAGGCACATTACAGATGATTTTATTATACACCACATATTAATAAATACTATAGTAATACAGCATCTTAATTTATTCAACATTGAGAAGTTATTTTGAACTAGCTAAAAGTAAAGTAGAATGTAAAAAAATGAGAAATTAATGCTAGACCGACATTAATGGACGACACTTTCAGTACTTTAATGTCATGTCATTTAAATCTGATATAACGTAAAGGTAAAACTGTATCTGGACATTACTATTCAATTTTGGGTTTATGGAATTTCAGCAAAAATAAAGTCTTCATTGTCATTACATGTTTAACTGTTTAAAAACGTGCCTTATATAAACATGAGAGAAGCTCAGAGCGCGCACTGCAGCACAGAACGCACAGCTTTGAACTGTCTAGACAGGCTAGTTTATGGGGATCTCTGCTCCTTCCCTCAGGCATACCGCTTAACCTTCACCTTTCACTGCTTCTCTAGGTTTTTATCCTTACGAAAGGAATGAAAAAATCCAATCCTGTGAGGATTAAAGGACATCAATAGTGTTACCTCCAGACCACACAGGGCAAATGTTCTAAGGCACATGGCAATTACTATTTTGGTAAAACACAGTTACCTAAAAAGTCTAGAGTCTGACTTGTTTGAATTGAGATTTATATTCCACAACTCCAAAGTGCTTTTGCTTTTGGTAACAATGAAATACACCCATCATCTATATTTATTTCCTTAACATTTTCTTTGCATTTTGTGAGTTAAAAATGGGAGAAGAGCATTTTCAGTTGTTTCAAGGATTTAAAATAACTGCAGTTCACAAGCCATAAATAATGCCAACAGTGCGGCCACTTCATGGTGGGCGGATCAGGCATCCCTAAGACCATCTGCCTATCAATCACACTGCCTATCAATCTTACTGGACTTCACAGCCCACACACTTTTACACCTCGTGGTCCAGTTCTCCAATCACTGCTTTGCCACTGTCCCTGTTGACTCTGCTTGCTCTCTTTTAAAAATTCCAAATGTTCACCACACCAGGATGAGTGTAGAGGGAGTCAAATATTCAACTACCCTCACTCCCATGACACATACACAAATTGTCTTTTTTCTCTATATAGTAATGATCAGTCTGGAGGAACCGACTTATATTCATCTATCCTCCAAAACTAAAATCTGAGTGTGTTACCTTTTCTATAAACACTCATTCCTTTGGTGATCTGACTTAGCCCAATACTATCTGTCTTAGGGTTTTACTACTGTGAACAGGCATCATGACCAAGGCACTTTTATAAAGTACAACATTTAACTGGGGCTGGCTTACAGGTTCAGAGGTTCAGTCCATTATCACCATGGTGGGCACATGGTAGTGTCCAGGCAGGCATGGTGCAGGAGGAGCTGAGAGTTCTACATTTTGATCCTAAGGCCACTAGGAAAAGACTGGCTTCCAGACAGCTAGACCAAGGGTCTTAAAGCCCATGCCCACAGTGACACACCTATTCCAACAAGGCCAGACCTCCTCCAAAAAAGCCACACCTCCTAATAGTTCCATTCTTTGAGCCAAGCATCAACCATCCAACTACATAGAACTCTCAAATGTAGGATATCTATGGTAAAGCTCTTTTCAAATTACACTCTTCTGGCTCACTGCTTATTGAACATTACAGCAACATATCTAGTATGTATCTCAATATTCACACGTTGGAGTACCAGAGTGCCTCCACTTACATATCCCTCACTCTAATCTTCTGGATTTCCTGACAATATCTCAGTATAAAATCTTTAGTCATTCTTTTCTTCTCTGCTGTTGTAATTTCCTGTATCTCTCAGAAGCCTCTCTAATTTCAAAACTTCTGAAACCAACAATTTTGTTCAGCCTATAGAGAATGAAGAAAGATACCATCACTTCTTTTCTAGAATCAATTTGGTAATCTCCCCTCTTGTCTACAATTCCAATCTTCTTTCTTTATAACCCATCTCAATGAAGCAGTCAGAAGTACCCCTTTTCGATATGGATTGGCTATAATATTATTGCTGTGAGCAAAAGACTCAAAAGCTTTTAATTCCTAAGTAATAAGTGTCTTCTCAACAGCTTGAGGATGCTGCCATAGACCGCCATTGTCCTGTTCCTGCCTCTAACAGAGCACCTTCCTGTTTACAGCCTTTTCTGCAGCTTTCTTTTTTCCATAAATCATTCTTCCTTAACTGTAACACAGTTAATTCTCTCACCTCCTTCAAATCACAGATCAAATTTCACTATCCTGAGGCATAAAGTGTACATATATATATATAATTGCTGTGTGAAATTTATCTGTATGTTGTTATTTATAATGTACATCATCCATAATGGACATGTCAATTTACTCCTTACAATTGCTACTAGGTAATACTGGATAAGTCCTGGGTGAGTTAACTGAGAACTTCAACAATTTCATACACAAATTGAAGAATTTTGAAATCTGTTTCTGTCCTAAAAAGGTATGATTCTGTATACTTGTGAAGAAAACATGATCAATTCTAACACTGAAATACATTATAATATAAACCACATGCTCCAATATATAGACATTTGTAACTACAGCAAATAAAACCTTCGGAAGAAAGCTTGAGATGCACATGAATCCATGGAACAGGTTATATCAAATATCCTCTTCTAAATTTTAGAATCTAAACCATCAGATAATATTTTAGGGGAAGTGAATATACTTCATATAAACTACATAAAAATACACTTAATTTAATGGTCTTAAGTGCCTTAGAATAAAGAGCACAATGAAGAATACCAACACTTATGATAACTTTCACACAGGGGTGTGTTAATCTGTGAAGGTGTAGGGGAGGCTGCAGATGTTTAATGTGGCCGATTACACCCGCTACAGTCACAGCGGCTCACTATTGCTCATAAGTTGACAGTTGAAGCACACAGGGCACAAAGCGCATCAGTTTAGCACTGTCAGCATGACACGCTCTGGGATGCCTGGTCCAGAGGGATTGCTTTTGGCCCTACTCTAAACTGGAGATAGGAAGGCAAGAGGAAGCACAAGCAAATGTTAAGTTTCCTTGTGAAGCTTTGAAGTTATGTAGAAAAGTGATTATTCACAAACCTTCATTGTATTCTAAATACAGGAAACTATTTCAATTTTAATGAATAAAAATTCTATCCAAGAAATTCACAAACAAAAATTCATATCAAACTGAAAAGAAATCAATCAACAAAGAAAAAAAAAACCTACTCCAAGAAAACAAAAAAATTAAAACCAGCTTGGCCAACTACAGTCTAAGATGGAGAGCATGTGTATGCATGTACATGTATCAACACACAAGCACATGCAATCCTACAATTAACGTGTTTGCTGTAATCTAAGTAGCATAAAAATAAGCCAGCAAGACAATTCTGATGTACTAATTGATTCCAGCTCAGAACTCATTCCCCACAAATCTCTCTTTTCAGAAGCAAGCATTACAGAGGGAGATTATCTTGAGAAAGTAGTAACTAGCTCAACTAATAACAGGAAACCCTCTGCTATGATGCAAAAGAAAAATGTGTTTAGCTATTTCACTGAGGTGGATGACATGCTAATAGAAATATTTACAAGATCTGCCAAGGTGACTTGGAACACAGCAGGCAGGCTTAACCCCGAGGAGGAGTACGGCCTTCCTCTACTTGTGCGGTATGTAGAGAGAGGAGCGGGAGGGCTCTGGGGATTAGTTATGTGAAAAGCAATAATGACCATGGAGAATTACAGAGAATACAATGGGAGAAGTTTGCAAAAACCCTTTTCTTACTTCTTTGCTCTTTGCAACCTCTGCAATGGCAGCAGTCCTTTGCTTCTCAAATTCATCATTATCATTTGTAGGTTTGGCAGGCAGTGAAACTTGTAATGTCTTTCTTCGGTCAAGTTCTCTGCTATCCACTTGGACGTTAGATGCACACTTCTGAGAAAATAAATTCATATCGCTTAGTAATTCCAAGAGTAATTCTAAGAAATACAGTACTTCATAAGAACTACTTCTTCAAAACAAATATTTATATTTCTTATCATTGGTAAAGGCAAAATTGCCACTCTATTCAACATACTTAAAAAAATAAAATAAACACACACACAAAAACTATGAAGCTAATTACAGTGTTACTTTTAAATAAATATAAGTTAAGGATTACATCTGTGGAGATAGATAGATAGATAGATAGATAGATAGATAGATAGATAGATAGATAGATATTGATAGATATATATATCACCTAAATGAGGCCACACATTTACAAAACACACTGGGCTGCAAGACCCAAGTTTCATTCTAGGGTAATAACTTAAAAACTGTTGTAGATTTCAAGCTGTCTACATTAATTAAGAGCAGGTAAATCTGATTGATAATTAAAGAGTTCCACTTTCACATCCTACCACAATATCCATGAGTACACTTAATAACACGTAACAAAATGTGCTGAAACTTGTAAGTCAAAGGCTAAAAACATGCCCAACTAAGATGCCAAGTTTTATTTGTTGTTTTTTAAGGTTTATACTTTTAATATCAGAATTTAAAACAGGTAAAAACAATCCCTGAATTCTCAACTCCACAGTAGCATAAGTCCTCTAAAGGGACAGGTTTGTTTCTCAGCTCACTACCTATATGAAAGGGAGAAGAGGAAATAGTCTCAAGTGTATTGTACAAATAGAGTATTTTCCTCATATATAAACATGCCATTTATAGCAACACAGAGAGGGCTAGCACTATGACGTTAGCCTACCTACTGCTGTAATATGCTGCACAAACTATTCACAATGAAGAAAAGTAAATCATCACTGAAACTAAATCTTCTGTTATACTTCCTAGTCCTAAACTTTAATAATACACATTTCAATTTGGACAGTAAGTAACTAAACCATTAATCATCTCTAGAAAAAAGTCATTTTTATATCTTTAGCAATTTTTTAAAAAATTTACAAATGTCTCAGGAAAAAGTAAAATTGTACAAGTATGTCAGTTACTATTTTCAAGTATAAATTACTATAATATTTTGATTCTGGGTTCTTTTATTACAGGCAGAATGGTACTACAATGGACCACAACATTGGACTTTCTATCTACCTTTATCTTTAAAAAGGTTGAAGACGGGACATGCCCATGATGCAGGAATGACTCTAATTTAATTCTAAGTATAGCTCATAAAAAATATTGTAAAGATGCCAATCAACTGATCTCTCCCATATCCTCATATCTACTATGTATCTTTTTTGTGCCAAAGTTTCAAACAAAATTCAAATAACATACAAAATAAAATGTTGGTTTCAATTTCATATTTTTATGTCCCAATTTGCCTTCACTTTAGCCAGCATTCTGTAAGAAAAGTTCAGAGTAAAAATAGTTTAAAACTGTGGTAATGGCAAACAAGGCACAGCCAATGGCCACAGGGAGTGCTCTCGGCTTCATCTAGGGTGAAGAAAGAGAAGGTAGAGGAGACTGCAGAGAACACAAGTCCAAGTTGAGTACAGAAAGGAAGACAAGACACAGGCCAGTCAAGCCCTTCCTGCAATCTCCTTTACAGTAGGAAAGATGTGGTGGCTTGAATAAGACCATCACATGGCTCCCATGTCTGAATGTCCAGAGCCCATATGGTAGACCTGTTTGGGAAAGATTAAGAGGTGTGGGCTTGGTGGAGGGCGTGTGCCACTGAGCCTGAGCTTTGAGGTTTCTACAGCCCAGGCCATTCCCAGTTAGCTTTCTCTCTCTCTCTCTCTCTCTCTCTCTCTCTCTCTCTCTCGTGCCACTGGATCAAAATGTCAGTCACTGCCCCAGCACCATGCTTGGTTACCTGCCACTGTTACCTGCCATGATAGTCTTGTACCCTCTGAAACTTCAAGCCCCAATTAAATAATTCCGTTTAAAAGTTGCTTTAGTCACAGTGTTTTGTTACAGCAATAAAGAACTAAGACTAGGGGTTAAAAATTAAGAACTATACATCAAATTATTTATTTTTTGTAGAAGAAGAATCCAGGCTGCTGTAGTTGAGAACAGCAACATAAAATGAAGTTGGGCGTCTGACGAAGATCAATAACTGAATGGAGGGGAGGGAGGCTAAGTTGAAGCACAGAATTTTATGGAAAATTTTGGCATTTTTTTATCTCCTTACTTTTAAAATTCTCATTTAAATACTATTTTCCATTAACCTATCTAAGCTATAATTTGTTCTACACACATAACTCTTAATTGCTTCAATCTCTGGGATAAGAACAATATTATTAAATTCCTTGACCTTCATGTTTCAATATAATTCTACAGTACCTGAGTAAATAGTTTGGCACAAACCATACTCAGCTTACGCACAATGAAGAACGTTCTTTCCTGACTAACTCCACCTGCCAGGAGGAAAGTCCTTACCTGTCCAAAAGGTAAAAAGGGAGGTGGGCCACCTTCAGCTCCAATATTGCTTCTATTATGTTTTAATAAGCTCTGTTTAAAAACAAAATCAGTCATAAGGCATAAAACATGCATATAGATACACTAGCCCCACATACCAGTAGAATCATGAGACACAACAGCCTTCTTTAAAGCACCTCAAACTATAAGACAGAAAACTGTATTCTTTATTTCTGTAAACTGGAAAAGTCCTTTCCTCATCTCTACTGACCAAAATACATTCACGTTTAATTTTTAGAAATATTTTTCCAGCTGGTGTCCTTTGGTGAGATCAGACCTCCTCAAAATACAGTCAATTCATAGAAAATATGCTTTGGCAATAACAATTTTACTTTGAAACACATAACCAATACATGAATAATGTCTGAAATTTTTCAATGAAAATAACGTTTTTAGAGGTAATACTAGAAAGAAAGCCATTATTGAATAGGGTGATTACTAGTACTTTAAATACCAGAATCCTATGGTTCATTGTATGTAAAGTCATACAACATCTTTCAAATTATCTTACATTAATTCATACTTTGAAGAAATATTCAACTGAGTTTTTAAAAGTTTTGTTGTACTTTGTATGCATGCGTGTATGTGCACAAACACACTAACACACAAGCATAAGCATGTAAAGGTAAGAAAGAGGACACCTTGCATGAGTCAAGTCTCTCTGTCCCCCTTGTGGATCCCAGGAATCAAACTCAAGTCATGAGGTTTGACAGCAAACACCTTTCCTTGCTGAGCCTCGGGGATAGACATGAGCTTCCAAACTCTTCTGAGTTCCAGGGTTTTTTTAAGCTTGCCTAATCAGAATCACAAAGCACTTTCTCACATTCTTAAGTCCTTCCATAGGGCCAGAGGAAGCTCAACAGCATTCCTTCCTGTTATACTTCCCACCACAGTATTAACATGCATCTGTTAATTATTAAATATACCTTCTAAACTTTAAATTTGTGCTAATTAATGTTACACATGTCATGATGAAAATACAATGTAAAAGAGTCACCAAGTATTCTTAAAAATTCTCCATGTACTGTATTGTTTAACAGAGTTCCTGAATTATGTAAACACTCATACATTTCATACACATTACAGATTGAATAATAAGCCAAATGGCAATTTAACATCAGCTTAATGAGCAGAGGATAATAAAAATGGTACGGGGATGGCATATTTCTTCACAATCTACATGTAAGTTAGCAATCTTTTTCATTTAAAAAGAAAAGAAGCATGGCACACACACATGGCACAAAAGACTAATGCTAGCACTCCCTATGATGTTGCACACTTACTCTCTGTAGAGCCCACTTGTCAATTAAGTGCTCCACCTCACCCCCGAGAACTGTGGTGTTAGCGTCACTTAAGAGCAGGAATCCATTCTTTACATCAACAGTGCCAGAGAGCTTCACTTTTGTGCCAGGAGGTGTGTTCAGGCTGACGCAAAAGAAAAACAAAAGGAGTTAGTGGGTAAAGCTTCATGGAAACTCCTCCACAAACTGAAAAGGGGTCTTACGACTTAATCACAATACACTAACATCTAAACTGGGTTTCAAGAGGACTGCTATAAAGTAGTACAAATGGATTGCCATAAATGAAGACCAAACAATAAATAAATAAAGTTTATTCAGTTTCCAAAAGTTAGAACAAACGTGGACAAGAACAATCACACCTCACAAAGCTGTGGTGAATAAAAAACAAAAGACAGGGAAAAACTTTTCTCTTCTTTTTAATAATTTATTTTATGTTTGTAGGTGTTTTGTCTGCATGTATGGAGTCAGACCCCTTGACCTGGAGTCACAGATGGTTGTGAGCCACCATGAGGGTGCTGGGAATTGAACCTGGAATTGAAATGGAAGACCATTCAGTGCTTTTAACCACTGAGCCATCTTTCCAGCCAGAAAAGTACTTTCAACTCACCCATATATGAACACAATCCCTCCCTTTCTTTTTTATAAGGTTTTGCTATGCAGGACAAAAATATGTCATTATTAAATTAAATTTTAATATAAAAATATATTTAACCAATAATAAACATAGAAATGTATCACATTTATGAGCCATAGTAATCTATAAAAATCCTTTTGTTAGTCATCTAGCCATGTTAGCCATCTGAACACAAGAATTAGCTATTCAATAACTTTATAAAGACTCTTACACACTGACTTGGAAGTCATGAGCATTAACTGTAATGAGACTGTTCTAGGAAAGGCCAATGTTAATCAGATGCTTGGTAGACCTTGCATCACAAATCCTTGCACAAAAACCAGAGACAAGATGCTTATCTTCCCACCAACTTTGTTAAAGGAAACTCAGGATAAAATTTACTTCATCATGCAGGTTTGTTCTAAAGTAAAAGCACAGATATAAATCCTACTCCATCTCTTCCCACATACAGCAAAAGGAAAAGCTCTGCAAATAGGACTCCTAAAATAGTCTTCCATGAAACACTTGGGATGAATTAGAAAATTATTCTGCAATGGCTTCATTATTCACATTTTTAAGGCTCATGAAATTCATCACATGCTGATACATGCAACATCAAATCAGTGAGTATTAATACCACAGCCTCTTAAAAGATAGCTGATAAAAATCATTAGTGAAAAGAAGTAAGAATATGCCTTGTCCTCAAACTTCAAAGAAGACATACAGAGTAGATATAGATACTGTTCTGTGCATTAGGTATGCCTGATACGTATATCATTGCGTGTTATCAATCCTATCTCAACAAAGCCATTAAAATTGTTCTGACCCTCATAGGCTTAACATTCCTAGTCATAACTCAAAACTGATGATGAATAGTCACAAACAGTCTTGCCTAACCTCCCCTTATAGAGCTCTGTGGTCAATGACCCATCTCCAAGATCAGCAGTAACTATCAGCAACACAATTATACTAAAAAAAAGTTTTTGCCAATTCCAGGCAATCAGCATGGGTAAGGAGTTGTAGTGGATTTAGGAGGAGCTGGGGAAGGGGAGAAAATTATTAAAATACATTTATATTAAGTGCTCAATGATTTAATAAAAATATCTTTAAACATTTTTTAACAAAAAGTTTTGTTTAACAAAAAACATATTGTTAAACAAAATAAGAGTTTGCAAGGTTGCTCCTTAAAGAATTCCTTCTTACAAAGAAGGACGCCAGCCACAAACCTCTTTAGCTGTCATTATCTCCTCAGAAAGTATATTAGCCTACAAACCTGGCTAGAATCTTAAATAGTGTAATAACAATATGTACAGTAAGCTGCTAATATGTTAGGAAAAAAAATGTATTTAAAGATATTCTAATATGTTATAAACAGTGAATAACCAAAGATTTTCTGGAAAAAAAAATCATGCACATATATCTTAATTTGTTTTATAGTTAACACAGAATAAAGAGTAACTAACTTCATCTCTGTCATTTAGACAAAATAGACATGAAAATCCCAGAAATTTCTTATGGAAAAGTACAGCATTCACTTAAGACTCCATTTCTACTTTTTCAAGTTCTGACAATGAAATTGGGTTTGAAAAGCACCCTTAGAGTCTCTTAACAAGTTACATGAGTCACCTTATTTTTGAAATATAACTGAATTCTACTGCCGTACAACTTGTGTGCCCATCAGTCATCTGCACACGAAGCATCCTTGGCGCAGCTTGTGATTCCTCGTTATCCTTTGGTGCAGCAACATTGCGGACCTTCTGAATTTGTAAAACACATGGACCTTCAAGCTGTCACACACAAGAGAACAAAAGTCATTTGTTAATCACTGCTCTGCTTTCAATTATACAATTTTCCTATCTTTAATGGTTATTTATTAAGACTTATAGAAATAGTTTCAATTAAAGTCAAGACTGAAATCACTTTGTTAACTCACAAAGGTAAAATTTCAAGAGGCCTGCAGAAAGACAACTTTTCAAATCCACTTTCAGATAATTCCAAAGCACAAAAGCACTAAGAAAGCAGTTCTGGTTTTGAATAAAAGGTCAGAGGTCACATCTTTAGTCTTATGTGTTCTAAATAGTTCATATAAATCCTGTTCCTGTGTTCTAAATAGTTCAGATAAATCCTGCTCCCTCCCCTTTCACAGGAGACAGACAACATGATAGTATTTTAAAGGACATCAATGTATGGCAGTAGTTCAAAGGAATGCTTCCTATTCAAACATGAACTTTACAACACTCCAAAGTGTAAGACACATAAAGTTCAAGGAGCGTGTTTCACTTATTTCTATACTTTCTTTTGAAAATGATATTAAATCTGATGACAAAGGAGAGAAAAAATCTATCTCTATGACAAAGGAGAGAAAAAATGTTCTCTCCTGCCAACTTTCATTCAAAGTACAAAATAAATCAATGGAGTAATTAGCTACAAAGCTAAAAGTTTTATATAATAATATACTGATAGAGAAACTGGGGAAAGACAGTTTAATTTGCTTACATGTAGGAAAAATGAAATTTAATAGAAATAAAAATTTCCACAAAATAAATATTTAAGTTGGCATTACAGTTTAGGGAGAAGAGCTATTTTAAAATTAAAGTTTTTCAAGTAAGTATTTCTGTACATAAAAAAATGAATACATATTTTCAGAAAAGAAATAAAATTGGCAAACAGTTACACATTAATTCCCAAGCATGCAAGTCTCTAAACTGGAATCTACTGCTCAATGCTAACCAGGACAACAATGTCACACATTCAGTTTTATCTAGTCTAGCCTTTCATCTAAGCTTTAGCTATGAAAGGAAAATACTGTTTCTGGGAAAGACGTTGACCAGAGGGGGCTTCTAAGAGAGCCAGTAAAAGAAAGAAAGAAAGAAAGTTAAAATAAAAGAAAATGAGAGTTACTACAAGGGGACAGAAATGCCTCAGAAATCCACAAAGGCAGTGGCAGAACACTGGGAAGGAGCAGAGGTAAGGACAGTCTCTCAGAGTACACAGGCAGAGCAGCAGCAGGGCACTTCCCTGCTGTAGAAGACAACAGAAGCCACTTACAAAGGCAGCTTCTGGCCCAATGGGTAAAGGTGCTTGCTGCCAAGCCTAAAGACCTGAGTTCAATCCTGGGACCCCACATGGTACAAGGAAAGATCTCCGAAAAGTTGACATCTGACTTCTACACAGAGACTGTTATAAAGGGCAGCTATTCCATATGATCGAGAAACCAAACTTAAGAATCCATAGATAGAGCTAAGATTAATACTAAAGGCATAAAGAATCTGTTTTGTGAAATTACAAAAGACATTTCCCCAAAATGTAGGGCAACAAATAGACAATCAAATGCAAGAGATATATAGAATTCAAAATATGCATAGACCGATAAACTACAACATACTAAAGATAGTCCAATGTTTAACCCCAAATTATATTACATAGCCACAGTAAAACAAAACAGCAGTAAGGACAACAAAGTGGCACAGGCACAGGCACAGGCACACAGACACAGACACACAGACACACAGACACAGACACAGACACACAGACACACAGACTCACAGACACAGACACACAGACACACAGACCCACAGACACAGACAGACACAGAGACAGACACACAGACACAGACACACAGAGACAGACACACAGTCACAGACACACAGACACAGAGACACAGACACAGAGACAGAGACAGAGACACAGACACAGACATGCACACTTATGGAGTAAACCAGAGGACCCAGAGATAAGCCCACATAGCAACAGATACAGATACCTACTTATTTTTACAAATTGTTAAAACGTAAACTAGAGAAATGACAAGCTCTAAAACAAAAGTTGATGGGAAACCATCTCTGAATCCAACTCTCTGTTAAAAAAAAAAATCAATGAAAACAGATCAAAGACCTTAACATAAAACATAAAGTCGGAAGCCGCTAAAGAAACAACTGAGACAACTTGAAGACTTTTCTGAAGAGGACACCAATAGCACAGGAAATAATCCTCAGAGTTGACAGGTGGACTGACTGCGTGACCTCTAGGAGCTTCTGCAGAACAAAACTAATAATCCCCAGAGTGAAGAGATGATCAACAAAGGGAAACAAGATTGTCACCTGAGCGTCAGACATTGGTTACATACATATGCACACATGTATATAACCACCAAAATTAAACACCAAAAAAAGATCATAAATAAATGGCCTAATGAACTAAATAGACGATTCCCAAAGGAAAACTACAATGGCCAATCAATACCTGAAAAACTATTAAACAGCATTAGCCATCCAGGAAACAAAGAAACACAAATGGCCCAAAAGTACTCATTAACTATTTTTTTAAATATTCTGATGAACTTTTCTGAGGGAAACCCAAATTATAACTACTTTGAGATTCATGTCAAGAATCTCAAATTCTTTTATTTATTATCAGGAAATCAAATACAACAAACGCTGGTGAGGCTAGAAGGGGAAAGGAACACACTTACTCAGTGCTGATGGGAATGTAACTTGTGCAACCACAGTGGAAATCAATATGGAGGTTCCTCAAAAACCTGAAAACAGGACACCGCCACTCACTCCACTCGGGTATGTGTCCTAAGTCAGCACAGCAAAAGGATGCTTTCATAAGAATGTGTATAGCTGCTGTATTTATAACAGGTAGGAAATGCAACCGGCCTATTGTTGTTGTCCAACAACAATAAACAGATAAAGAAAATGCAGTACACATCACAATGGAATTGTATGCAGCTGTAAAGGAAGTGTAATCATGGTGTTCACAGAAAAACTAATGCAACTGGAAATCATGTTAAACAAAGTAAGCCAGACTCAGAAAGAAAATTACAACATTTTCTCTCAAGTATAGAACCTAAACTTAAAATGATACCTGTGTGTAAGACTGTGTGTTACATGTGTGTGTTACATGTGTGTTGTTACATGTGTGGCTGGAGGCCATGAAACTAGACATCTTGGGCTGACACACAAGAATTTATTCTGTGTGTTTCTTCCAAACTCTAGGTTCAGTGGTTTCATGCTATAGTTTAACACAGACTTATTAAACTACAGAGAGTGGTAAACGCTCCATACTGAGGCTCTTTCCTCTCTTCAGATGGGCAGTTTACTAGCATTTGATTGGTAGCATCACATCATATCCTATAAAGATGTCAACTGTCGTTGGGCTGATCTGCAGCTTCACTAAAAATTCTAGCACACTTTAAGAGATTTAATAATTTGATTCTAAAATTTATTGGGAGAAAAAATAATAACCTAAGGAACGATACTGTATTTTACAACCACGAAGTTTAGAAAAAAATTGGTAATTTCAAGTGTCATAAAGGTACCTTTCAAATAGATCCTGTATACTCTACTGAAAGCAATAGAAATGATGCAACTCTTTGTAAAGTAATATGGCATCATATTATAAAAGGAACACTGGCATAACACTATCGTGCACTAATTCAGCCCGAGTTCATCTCTTATTATATGCTGCTTCTTAGAAATAGTATCTATTTTCAAAACTGATAAAATAGCCATCAAAGGGATTGACACATATTTACTATAATTGCATATGCAAACAAAATGTACTTAAATTCAACGAACAAACACAGGATTCATACAATTGTTTCTTAGTGTGGGAAGGGGGAAACCAATCAGATATTCTAGCGTCTACCTCAGAAGAAGCTTCAGGGGTACCTACTTTAATACTAAACATCAAAGGTCCCTAAATGTACACACATCAATATTTTAAATAATTTATGTCTTAGAATTAATATCTGGTCAGTGAAATTTCTTAATTGAAAAGCTAAATCCTCAACCTACACAGAACAAATACATTCAAAGTCATACCACAGAGCAAGACTGACGCCAAAAGTGTTAGTAAAATCATTTCTAAGAGAGACAACAATGGAAAAGTCACCCTTAAAACTATTTGGCAATTTCCTTTGCCAATATCAACAACCAGCTAGCTACAGCTACAGTCTACAGCAAGAAGAGATGTGCAGCAGCCAGCACCATGAGCATCAGAGTACACTGGTCCTGCACACAGCACGCATCTTGTCCTGGGCTTTGAGCTCATCACTTCCCTGGCTCAGGACACAGCCCAGTGCTGCTGCTGCAGCTACAGCAGAAACGCAATCTTCTGTCCACCTGCCACCACTAAGCAAGGCTGAGACAACGGCATGGTGCAGCTGCACACCAAGAAAAAGTTGGGACATCTGTCTGCTTTCTCCCCTCTCTAAGTATCTTAGAATAAAAACCTCCCCAAACTCAGAGACTATAGGTTCTAGTAATCACAAACATCAAACACATGTATCTTCCATGCATAATTATCAGTCAAAAAGTTTGATTAGGCCCAATTTCTTAAAACTCACATTATAAAAACAGCATATTCTATTTTAAAATAAAAATAATATTGAATAGATATGTATAGCTTTATGTATATCTACTAAATATATATACTATATATACATATATAATATACATACATATTTTAAAACCTTACCACAGGTATGTGTGTATACAGAGTATATGTACTGTACGGTTTTTTTCCCCCAAGGATTTATTTTTATTTTGTGTACATGTGTTTGCCTACATGCAATTGCACACATATACAGGTGCTAATAGAGGCCAACAGCAGGTATCAGATCCAGGGAGCTGGAGTTACAGGTGGTTGTCAATCACCTCACATGGGTGTTGAGAACCAAACTCGAGTCCTCTGCAAAAGCATTAACTGTTGAGCCATAGTTCCAGCCCATGTACACGGTACTCTACGATTTCAAACATGCCTCCACTATGTTATTATTATT